GCCAATGACATTTGGAAAAAAAATTAAATAGGGAGGTTTTCTTTTTATTACTTGGAATCAAATTCCCACGTATCATTTTCCTGTTTAATTTCCACCTGGGATGGGAATCCATTTGGGCTGGCAACTACTAACACGCACGATGGTGAAAACTTTTGCTCAGTTTGCTCAGCAACTTGAGATGGGCCTTCCTGAGAATCATGACTGTTGGTAACTTGAAAAAGTGTTTGTTTGGGTTCCGGTGATTTGATCACGGATGTGATGACTGTGCCCGGGGTGTGGTTAAGCAGTGGCGAAGAGCTGGTTGAAAAGGACATGATTGGAGTGGTTGCACTGAAGACTGGTGACGAAGGCACACTGACTGTTCCATTACAAAGGCTCTGTACATTGCCATTCAGAACTTGCTGAACCTGGCTAGAGCTCAGGACAATTGATGGTGGAGGCGAGCCTGTTTTCTGAGGCTGTAGCACCATGTTATCCTTGAGTACGGTCATTGGCTGGCCTGAAGGAATGGCTTGAAGGATGAATTTTTGTGGGCCCACACCAGCTGTTGGGTCTGTGCTTGTTATTACCGTGGTGAGAGGCATTGTCTGGAGTGTTACAGTATGTAACTGCTGACTGCCAGGAGAAACCACTACTGGGACCTGACCTGGAGACTGTATAGTCCTAAAATGTAAAAGAGGAGAGAAACATGAGCATTGCACCCATTTGTACACATATGCAATCAAGGTAGTGTGTGTGTGTGTGTGTGTGTGTGTGTGTGTGTGTGTGTGTGTGTGTGTGTGTGTGTGTGTGTGTGTGTGCGTGTGTGCGTGTGCGTAAGGCAGACAGCATCTCCGCCAGCAATGATCAGTGATTCTTGCTGCCGGAGAAGCTTCGGCCCCTTTCATACTTGAACACCCATACCTGTGGCAAGCTTTGTATCCTGCACAAATCAATGATCTACATAGCTACTGCTCATACAAACAGTTACATGCAATTAGGGCCTGGATGCAAAGCTCTTCTGGGACAGCATTTTCTGTGCACTTACAAAATGGACAAAGTTAATTGTCCAAGAGAAAAATTTTTGAGGTACCACCTTAGTAGTCAGATCAACACAATTGTCTAAAAAGCTTTATATATTTTATTTCTTGTTTAAGATCATGTAAAAAAAAGTCAACCTCAAGCTAATAACATCAATAAAAATAGAAACATTGACTTTGTCCAATTCATCAGGAAAAAAAAAAGGCTTTCAAATCCATTATCAGCAAGTAAAAGTCACAAATTCTGAAGTTATTTAGCCATCCATGTACGCATGAGCCTAACTCCATCACAACAACCAGAAGGAGCACAAGGGACAAGCGAGAGGTAACACCAAACAATGTCATCTGTGTTAAGGTGGCCATACACTTTTGCTCTGCACAGAGTAGGCATAGCGGACCGGTCCTGGCTGCTGTGCGGGCCACATTACAAGGTCCGGCGTGCCGGATTCGTCCCACGGGCCTTGTGTTTGCAACCCCTGGTTTACAACTATCGCAAGACCTTAGTCTTGCGATGGTTGTAAAGTAATTTAAAAAAACGTACGATCTGCCCATCTTGGACTGGCAGATCATACTCTCGATCATCGCAAGCCCGCCCCTGAGGGGCGGGCTTCCGATGACCGCAATGCTGAACGGGCAGTGTGCGGGTGCGCACACCGGCCCGTTCGGCATTTGTCTCCCGAGCACCGTTCAAAGCAGCCGAAAATCGTACGATTCTCGGCTGGTTTTCTAGCGTGCTCCTTAGACAAAAGACGTGCGACCGTACAGTAGAAACGGTCGCACATCTTCGTTCACACTGCTCGATTCTCGTACGATCGCGGGATTTCGTACGAGAATCGAAGCAGTGTATGGGCACCTTTACAGACTTTGCTGAAGGAGAGGCAGTCTGATTTGTGTCTAAATGGGTCGCTAATTTGTGTGATAAAAGGTCTCCCATTGTATTTCACTACAATGATGTGAACAGATTTGATTTAAAATTATATATTTTTTGTTTTTTTTTGTTTTACACATTACAGCAAATTACTGCAAAAATTTTGACTGGGCCCTCCACTTCAATAATAACAACTGGCATCTCCATGGTTGCTACTAACACCCCCTCAACCATCATTTATGATGGCTATGAACAAGACCTAGAAGTGAGAAGGGAAACAATAATTTTGCATCCAATTATTTTACTTTTCTTATGTTTCTAAAGAAGTCAACTGTTCTATATCTTTCTTTGTTATTTATATCAAATCTTTGTTTTACAAGGATTTATTAGAGGGTGTACCTATGACAAGGAAGTGAAGCAAATCTAAGCACCAGCACACCATACTGCTCTTTGTGAGCAAAAGCTGTTCATGTTCACACACTAACTATTGGAAACAAATCAATTCTGTGTTCCTACTTGACCCTGTGCTAAGCTCCAGTGCTGGTTATCTTTTAGATAATAACGAAATTATTTTTTCTAAGGGGTACTGAGCTGATAACATTACCCTCCCTCTAATACATTTATTATAGTGTGTACACCATTACCTCATACAAATATAAATATTATTCATACATTATACTGTGTGAAAAAACAGTGAATTGTACCATTCAATGTTACCACCTAAAAAAACTGTTCTGCTACATTCCATAAAACAACAATTCTATTGTTCCACAATTGTATTCATTAACTGGTGGTTGCAAAAACCAAACAATCCAAAAGAGTTTAGAAATGTTCAAATCAATAGTGCTCATCATGTACACAGCAAATGAGAGCATTACATATGTGCTCCAAACAACACTCCTGTGTATGGCATCACTTCTTCCACGTGTGCTGCAAACAATGCTTTTGTGAATGTGTTTCACTCTAGTGCACCCCACCCTTACACACACACTATGCTCACTAAGTGAATAATTTTGAACCTCTTTAAATAGTCAACCTTGACTTGAGCGATTGAGCTTTGTAAAAACAGGCTTTAGCAACAAGGTCTTCCTGGAAAACATGTGAAAATCAGCTTAGAGTTGCATCTGCTCTCTAGATAGAATACAAAATATTTATATACCATATTTAATAATTACTTAACTCTCAATATGCTTATTGAGGTGAGTGGAAATCACTCATCTCATAGTTCTCCTTTAACAAAAACGTAACTTATTTGTGTATCACTCATCTGTAGATCCTCAAATCATCTCTGAATTCATGCTGATACTGTCCTTCTTCCTAGAGGGTGGATACTTATGTTCCCCATGACCCCTGTGTGTGTTGTAAAGTAGCCACCGATCCAAGCTCACGCCTGTGATGGACTACAATCTCACATTTAGTTTACCAATTTGTATCAAGATTGTAGTCCATCACAGGATTGAGCTGGTGACTACTTTATAAACACACACAGGGAACATGGGGAACAAAAAGTAGCCACCCTCCAGAAGGAAGGACAGTATCAGCACCAATTCAGAGATGATTTGAGGATCTACAGCTGAGTGATGCACAAATAAGATACATTTTTGTTATTAGTTAAGGTATCTAAACGCATTTTTAAGATTTAACTCCTGAGTTTAGTGTCATTTTAAATATGTATGAAAATATTTGTTTTATCCCAAGTACATTTAGAAAAAACACTATTTACTCCCATTAATATTAAACTATCTGATCTTTGAAAGACAAACTTATATAAAAATGGCCTTGAACCTGCGGGGGCATTACATCCAACAGGGCTCTAGACTAAAGAAGGAGCGCTCCCGTCTTATTAGGGAGGCCCTCCAAACCCTGACAGCCCTGGAGACTCAACACAAACATTTGCCCTCGCAGGACCTCTTGATGCGTACGTCTCAGGCCAGGCAACACCTCCTTGGGCTCCTTGATCTGTCCGCTCGCAGATATGCTGACAAACTGGCTCTTAGGGCGTATGTCGCTAGAAACAAGTGTGGAGGAGCCCTGGCCAGGACCCTGCACCCCAGATCTACCTCCACATATATCCCACACATACATACCGCGTCCGGTATCCTAGCGAGCTCACCCTCAGATATCCAACTTGCCTTCACGGACTTCTATAACTCCCTATACAACCTATCGGAACAGAGCACACCTACCCCGGACCGGGCCGCAGAAATGTCGGCCTATGTCCAACGCACGGCCCTCCCGACCCTGGGAGACTCTGATGCTGAGGCATTGGAGTCACCCTTTACTATGACGGAATTGCTCTCAGTCCTCCAGTCCGCGCCTACGGGTAAGAGTCCAGGACCAGATGGGTTTACGGTAAAATTTTACACCTCATTCCGCGAGAAGCTGGCCCCCTTCCTTCTGAGGGTGTTCACATCTGTTGCCCTAGGGTCCTCCTTCCCGGCTCAAGCGTTGGAGGCCCATATCACATTGATTCCTAAGCCAGATAAGGATCATACCCTCTGCACCAACTACAGGCCGATATCACTCCTTAATGTGGATGTGAAACTATTCGCCAAACTTATTGCCAACCGACTAACACCACTACTCCCGAGCGTAATACACAGGGACCAAGTGGGGTTCATCCAGGGGAGGGAGGCCCGAGATAACACCATTCGGACGCTCCTGTTGATGCATTATGCCAAAGCCTCGGGCACACCACTCTGCCTCTTATCCGTGGACGCGGACAAGGCGTTTGACCGTCTTGACTGGGACTTCCTACGCCTCTCTCTGCTTCAGCTAGGGATTCGTCCCGCCATGATGAGGAACATAATGGCCCTGTATTCTTACCCATCAGCTAAAATCCGGGTGAACGGGGCACTCTCCCCGAGCTTCCGGATTTCCAATGGCACTAGGCAGGGCTGCCCATTGTCCCCCCTACTCTATGTCCTCACCATGGAACACCTGGCGGTAGCACTTAGGCAGAGTGGTGCTTTCCAGGGTTTGAGGGTGGGGACCCACCAACATAAACTCGCATTATTCGCGGATGACCTGTTACTCTACGTGACCCATCCCCATATAGCCATGCCCGCGATACTGCGTGAATTCCAGAACTTTAGCTCCCTGAGTAACTTCCGGGTCAACCTCGCTAAATCAGAAATCCTCAACGTATCCCTGAGGGCAACGGACCTACATCCTCTCCAGGTCACATGACCCATATATGGTGGAGCTGCCCCAGGATCCGGGGGTTTTGGCAGGGGGTGCTGCGTATATACCTCAGGGTGACAGGAACCACAATTGCTGATGACCCCAAGATTCTGCTGCTGTCTATGATCCCGGGCTCGCTTAAGTCGGCAAAGAGGGGACTCTTACGCCATTTCCTCACAGCAGCCAGGGCGGTTATACCACGCCACTGGCGTACTCCGGTGGTCCCCACCCTCGCGGAATGGGTAGTGGAGCTGGACCGTATTGCAGATCTGGAAGATCTAATGTCCGGAGAGAACGAAACTGGGGACCGGTATGTCCGCACCTGGTCAGTTTGGATTGATTTTAGAAACTCAAATGGTTGTCAGGCAGCCCTCTCTCCCTGAACCACCTGCAGGGTGACATAGACGCAAGGCGGGAAGGGGGTTAGGAGAGACAATCCCCCCCTGCATCCCCCCCTCCATCCTCTGACTCTCCCTACCTTTCCCTGACCCTCATGCTGTTTTTCTTCTGTCCCACCTGTGCCCTTTCTAGCAGCCAGCGCTGCACAGCATCTATATGTGTATAACAGCAACCTGCGAAACACAGCGAGCCCG